CTGGACAAGCAAAGGAAGACACAATAAACGTTCACTTCCTTCCCCTTTGTGCATGGCTTTGTACTTGCGTGAGGGTCACAAACTGAGGGGAGGCATATTAATTATTCATACACAGGATTCAGTAAGCACTATAAGAGGCGTGAAGTAACTATCCCATCTGCTATATTCTCCTAGAGCTTTCTTCATAGTTTATCCTTACATGGCATAAATGACTGTATTTCATTTCCTCAAAGACATACAGCACTGTGCTACTGAAGCTGAAGTACAAGCATACATTTTTCTTTGGCAAGGCACTAAATTTGATAGTGTTTTAGGAAGGATAAGACGTGTGAAATGATTTAAACAATGAGTTTTTAAAGCCTTGTTTCTATAATTAGCCCACAGAAAAACACACTCCAATTTGTGCTGACAATTTGTACACATATACTTTAATATTTAGGCTTGAGTGTAATCATCTTAAGTGACATTAAAATATATTGGGGGATACAACCCAACAATTGCACAATCAGCTAAAAAATTTTTAGCATGTAAGCAATACAGCTTTTAGGGCCCAAAGGTTCTCCTTTATCAACCTCTTTATCAACTAGGCAGGTATATTTAAGCTTTAAAAATTTTAAATGTTGGTATTTTTTAAAAGGCACATTGAGGTTCTCTTGATATTGAGACATAAATTTACTTTAAATTCCATGACCAGACCTTTTTGGCAAGTGACTTTCACATGGATTTTAAGATTCTCTACATGCCTTTACAAACAGTACATACGGCAGCTCTAACTCTTACACATGAATATTCTGGACAACTGTCTTGCACCCTGGGCTGGGCCAAGGCCACAGTAGCCAAGGCTCTCACAGGCTTGCTGACTTAATTGGATAGTTTGTCAAACAGCAGGAAATGGAACCAGGCTTCTCTCTCTTGCATGTCAATGTAGTGTGCAGTGCTAACAGCCAAAGGTCATTCAACTTAACCATGATACTTTAAAGAAAAATTCAGTGTTCTTACATCAAAAGAAAGCCACGCCTCTTCTTGTAATTTACAAAACACAGAAGTTGCAATTATAAAAAAACAAACTGGTCTAAAAGGCAAAACTCATCCTTTACATATTGATTTCACAAATGTCAACAGTAACAAAAAAATGATAGTTAATTCATTGGTGACAGCTATCACAAAATTGATCACACTGGTTTCAACTGTATAATAACCACACTTCACCAGCTGGAGGCCTTGTCCATCTTGGCTGGGTTTTTCACACCTCAGTGCCAGCACCTGCTGTCAAAGAGACCACCACTCAGCACCAAAAGAAATCGTTAGCCCCTAGTAGGAGTTGTGAGTCATTGCAGCGCTCTGCAGGGGACAAAGGCCTTGACTTCTTAGTTGGAGATTTTAGCAAGAAAGAAAAGTATTTAATACTTTTAAACTGGGAAATGACTCCAGACAATGTTAGAAATCCTATGTGAAGGCACAAAAAATAAAGTTGGCAGGTAGGTGATTAAAAAACAGGCATACACAAATACAATTTAAAACAAAAGATATAAATATTTGTGAATTATTTCTCTTCCAGGGCTCTGGCTGTTGCTGAAAACACCTTCTAGTTCCACCTGGTAAATTTGACTTCTGAAAGATGACTGCTAGAATCTTCTGATGCTTAAGACAAAAAAAAATCACCTTAATCATAAGGTAATTGCAAAGAGGATTGTTGCCTGAATTTCTAGAGTTGCCTGAAATCTACAGTAACGTAAGGCAGAATTTATTAAAATGTTTAGGAAGTTTCAAACCTAAACAGAATGGCCTGATAACAAGCAGATACATAATTATCACACCCGTACAAGAAAAATACATGAAGTGAGAAGACAGACTGCAGAGAAGGGGCTGTTCTGATAGTTTAAAAGTTTCATGTTTTCCCCCCTTTCTCTGCCGTTGATGTAGGAGACATAGTGTAGCCAGGGTAGCCTGAACTCCAGGGATGGTTGGGTGATGACTGATGAGGCATAAATTTCTTGCCTATTAATAGTTTCCCACCCTTAGAAGTCTACAGATACTGGCAAGCAAACGTGGTCTCAGGTTTTCCTTGTCCCAGGACAGGAATGCCTCTAGGGACTATGATGGGGTCACACCATACATTCTGCTTACAATGGGCACAAACACACAAGACTATTTTTTTCTTAGCTTATCAAATCCAGTTTGTTCCTGAGAAGGCACCCACTAAGGGTGAAGGGTCCCAATATCATGACAATAAATAACAGCTGTGTTTACAGACTGTGGAGAAGTTGGGGTTCCTATGGCCAGGATCCTTGCTGAACTTAAACCACCTGATGATGTATCTGGCCTGTTGCTAGGCTACCACTTCCACACCTTTAGGCACTGTAAGGAGATCTTGGTCCAGTGCTCTGGGTGGAGGCCGAGATGCTAGTGCTCGAGCTACTGCCAGGAGAACAAGCTGGGTAATAAAACCTTTCACCCCAAAAGTTTTGCTGTCAATTTCTTTGGTCATATTGAATCCATAGCGAACTTGCCTGGGGCTGAAACCCATTGCCAAGACAATTGGCGAAAGTCAGCAGGGTTCACTGTTGACCAAGGAAAAAGACAGGCTGCCCTTATGGGAGGGGTGCTTCAGCGGGCTGCCCCTGTGAATGGGGAGACAGTGGATGTCCCCCCAATCGCTATGTGGTCTGAGGTGGCTTGCCTCCTAGAGGACTGGGCCCCACCCCAGGACTGGAGGCAAGTGGAGGTGACACCCGAGGCTGTATGGGTGGCCCTTGGTATAATAAGTAGGTCTTTTGAGAAAGAGTGCCTGTGACGCAGCGGGGACTGTGGGTTGGCTCCTTCTCACAGTATTAAAAAGGTCTACAGAGGAGACCCAAGAAATGGTGGCACAAGAACGTGAGCTGCAAACTTCTGTGGATTCTCTGAAGAAGGAAATGGCATTGATGCGAGAGGCGGCACGAGAACGCGAGTGCCAGTGGGAGTGGGCTGAGAGGCCCTGGCGGCGGAGCGGTGACTGGTGGGCCAGAGGAGCAGAACAACTGCTCACAGCAGTACAGCAGAAGGAACAGGAACAGCTGAAGAGGCGACAGTTAGAGCGACTACAAGACTCAAGGAAGAACAGGAGAAGCCGCTTACTCGTGTCTGGGCAAGACACACTCCCGGCTGACAGTACCAGATCTCACGCTTTGAGACAGAGAGTTATTGAATTGGAAACAGACATAGAAAAACTTAAGGCTGAGAATACATCTTTAGCTAAATTTAATTTTGAATGGGAAAAGGCCTTGGAAAAGCTCAGGAAGGAAATTGCAGACCTTGAACAACCGGAAGCAAAAGAATTGGCTCAAATAGAAGAGTTTAAAAAGTAGGAAAGGAGGAAGCTACAAAAGGAGTGCAGAGTTTTTGGAAAATATACTACAGTTGCAAGAACTTTTCCAGATAAAAATGGGAAGAAATACAGGTTTTGAAACAGCAGATGGCAGACTTACAGGAATATCTGAAAAGAAAGGAAGCAAAATGGTCAAGCACACATGGCCGTCTTAGAAGCCTGATAGAAATGTTGGTCAAAGAGATCACAGACCTGCGGGAAGAAATAAAAGTGATGGAAAGATTCTGACTAGATGCCTGGAAGAAAGCAGAGGCTACTGAGAGCGCAGCCAAGTTGGATCAGTGTGCAACCCCTGTGAAAAAAGATGGGTCCATGAGCTCTTCAGTTCGCTTTCAAAAGAGTCAAATTTCTTCAGGAACCCAGGTAGAAAAATACAAGAAAAATTATTTGCCAACACAAGGCAGTCCATCTAGAAGTTCCAAGTCTGTGCCTCCTTGTGTTTTAGGCAATTCAGATAAAGGACAAACTGCCTCATCCGGGGAACCCTCTGAACCAGCAGACTTCACAGATCCTGAATATAAAGAGGACGATGAGAAAGAGGAAAAAGAAGGAATTCAGGGAGACATCAATCATCCTGACAGAAAGATAGAAAAGGTTATAAAGAATGGATGCCGTCTTGTATTGTTTCCAAATGGAACTCAAAAAGAAGCGAGTGCAGATGGGAAGACCATCACCGTCAGTTTCTTCAACGGTGATGTGAAGCAGATCCTGCCGGATGAGAGAGTGACCTACTACTATGCACCTGCCTGGATCGCTTGCACTACTTACCCAGAGGACTAAATGTCGTATGTTTCTCAAGCAGACTAATAGAAAAACATTTCCCAGATGGAAGAAAAGAAATCACATTTTCTAACCAAACTATCAAAAATTTATTTGCTGCTGGCCATGAAGAAAGCATCTTCCCAGATGGTACAATTGTCAGATTACAACGAAATGGCAACAAAATCATAGAGCTTAATAATGGCCAAAGAGAACTACATACTGCCCAATTCAAGAGATGTGAATACCCAGATGGCACTGTTACAACTATATAAACAACTGCAAGTACAAACCAAAGAAGAATCACTGAAGCCGAGGTTCAGCCACCAGAATAACATCCTGCTGCCAGCACCAACCACACTGAACCCCGGAGACTCCACTGGGTGGACGTGGCCTTGGACCTTTCGACACATGAACCAACAATGGCTGGCTCTCCTGGCACCTTGGGGACAAGGCCTGGAAGCTGGCCTCCTGTGTATTGCTGGAATAACAGCAGAGTGGCCGCCAAAGGTCACAGTAGTGTATCCTGAACAGCCAGAAGGTAGGAGCATCTTACCAGGGAGTTTTGTTTTATCATTATGGCCAGTGCATGCACCTCCAGTGGCACTACATATAGACCTTTCAGTAACCCCCACGGGGAAAGGAGTAAAAGTAGGGTATACTAGACCTGGAAGGGACCCCCTTCCTGCTACAGTCCTATCACAGGAGCACTCTCTTGCATGCATCCTACCTGATGGACAAGATTTGCCTATGTTGGTGGCATTAAAACATGTGTCTTATCGCCCCTAAAGTCTTTTGAGGATTGAGAACTTCCTCTGGCTTGAGGATTATTATCATTTTTTGTTATTAGGAACCTCCTCTGGCTTGAGGATTATAATAATTTTTGTTACCTGTATCAAAATCTTGCTGTATCTTAATTTTTATTATCTCTAAGTTGTTGTTAGCCTCTGTTGCTATTGTGGCATCTGGTTACAGTGCTCCAGCTTTCTCGCACAGGGACCATTGCAGAAGACTGAAAGCGTGTATATTGTAAGGCGACAATCCTGGAGGGGTGGAGTGTGGGGAAGCTGGGGTTCCTATGGCCAGGATCCTCACTGAACTTAAATCACCTGATGATGTACTGGTCTGTTGCTAGGCTACCACTTCCACACTTTCAGGCAATAAGCTATTATTGCGCTATATAGAGAGCTCAGCCCAGTGCTCTGGGCAGAGGCAGAGACGCTAGTGCGACCTACCGCCAGGAGAAGAAGCCAGGTAATAGACCCTTTCACCCCAAAGAACGTTTTGCTGTCAATTTCTTTGGTCACATTGAATCCACAGCAAACTTGCCCGGGGCTGAAACCCATTGGCAAAACACAGACCCAGTCAGGACACATGCAAAAGCCATGGCCTTCTTAGCAGGAGGATGCAGGCCTTTCTCAAAAGGCCCTGCCTGGGCCCTCTCCAGAGGGGCCAGCTATCCCATGCATCTACTCACCAGGCACTCTCTCCAGCACATCACACACCTTGGCATTCTGGCCACCTGAGGCTACTATTATTGACCATTTACACAGACATTTCAAGTAGACAACAGAACGGCCACTGCCACTGGGAAGTGAAGTCAGATGACTGAGGTTTGGGAGTCGGGTGTGAAGAAAAGCTGCCACTTTGATGCGAGAGCTCAGCTGGGAAATGACTGCAGGTGGGTCTGAAGTGCGGAGATGCCAGGTGCCCTGCCCTGCGCGGCTCAGATGAAGTGGATCCAGCTCTCTTCGCACTCTCCACGGGGCATGTGCAGCGCGTGGCTGCGACACGTGAGGCTGTAATCTTGGCCGCGGTTGTTGTCCCAGTACTCGGCTCCGGCCACACTGTAGCGCAGCGCGAAGTGCACCCGGGAGCCCAGCGTCAACAGGAAGGGCGGCACCGGGAAGCCAAAAGCGAAAATGTCCTCTGTGCCACTGGCTCCCGCCGACCCGCACCACCTCGCCACCGCATCGTGTGCACTACGCCAGTTGGAGAAGGTGTAGCGCACCGCCACCTGCTTCTCGAAGGCCACATTGCTCACGCGTACTGTACCGCTGACGCCCAGGTCCGAGCAGGTGACGCGCTCCAGGCACACGAGCTGCTGCCCCAGGCGCTCACTGAAGTCGGCTGCCTCGATGGGCGGCAGGAAGTCGGGCACCAGGCACTGCAGGGTGAACTCCAGGTCCTGGCTGCTGCAGCACAGGTCCGAGTTGATGGCGAGCCGCGACAGCACGTGCAGCGGCACCGACGGGTCGTCGCCCGCGTTGAACACCTTGACCTGCGTCAGCTCCAGACCCAGCGCGTCGGCGAAGCGCACGCGGAGCTGCCGGCTGCACCCCGGCCGGCACGCAGCTCCCGGCCCGCCTGTGGCCTTCTGGCGGCGCTCGGGCGAGCTGGGCAGCGAGCGAGCCCGCCGCAGGATGATGGGCCGCAGGCGGGGGTCGCAGCCTGCGGGCGCCGGCAGTGGCGGCGGTGCTTGGCCCGAGCTCCCGGGGGGTCTGCAGAGCCGCGGCTCTGGGGTCGCCCGGCTCTCCAGGTCCGAGAGGCAGCTGAGGCTCCGCGGGGCGGGCTTCCGGAGGCCGGGTCCCGGGCCTCTGGACATGGCCTAGCCGGCCGTCGGGCGACGCGAAGGCGGGACCAAGGAGCAGCCTTCTGAGCCGGCGTCCGCTACCTCGGAGGGCCGAGTGTCCGCCCGCAGGGAACCTTTTGGGCCGCTGCACCCTCCCTTCGTCCGCCACCTCACCCCTCGTGTCCTCGTCCAGACTTCGGCTTCTTACCAAGAACCAAGAGCCTGCTCCCAAAGGGGCGTGCCTTCTCCAGGGGGAGCTTCCCGGGGCCACCGCCGGAGCGCAGGGAGCTGCTTCCTCTGGGCTTCCTCGGAGGTTCTGGGCGGAAGGCGGTGCTGGCGGGGCGGCCCCGCCCACCTTCCCGGCCTGGCGTCTCCCGCCGCGGCGCAGCTGTCGGGGTGCGCCTCCCGGCGAGCCCCTGCCCCGCCCCGGTGACGCCGCCGCCCCGCCCCCGCGCCCTGCGCAGCGCGCCGCAGTCCGGCCTCAGCGCCCGGCTCCGGGAAGGAGCGGCCGCGGCCTCGTCACGTGTCCTCGGCGGTGGCGAGACAGGTCTGATCAATTTCCGCCTGCATGCCGCGGTGCTGCCCGTGCGGATCGCAGAGCTGTGTCGGAGCGCACGCTGCACCGGGTGCGCGCGTGCTGCGGGTCCTCGCGTTTCTGGGTTACTGGGGAGGAGGGGGGAGCAAAACCCAGCCTTTCCGGGGGCTGGTTCCCACGCTAATTTTAGGATTGAGTCAGCCAGCCCTTCAGACCTATGCACTGCAGCCTGGACCTGCGGCCAGACCAGGAGCTCGCCGCGCAGGGGAGAAGCACCCTGTCCGCTGGTCCCCGCGGTGCTTAACTGCGCGGACCGCCCGCCAATCCGGGGTGTGGTGGGGGGCGGGGGAATCCCTGGGCGCCAGGCCAGAGGATGACGTGGGAACCAGAGTTAACACCCTGTGATGAATTAATGCAGCAGCCCAAGTTAATCAGTCTCTGGCACTTGGGAAGCATTTTTGTTGACTGAATCCCATTTTTAGCTTTGTTCCGATACACGCCTGAACCTTCCGGGAAGCTGGAAGCCTGTTTTCTGCATCCTTAGGACCCTGAAGGCATTCCTCTTTTACTTCACTCAGTAACTTTGCGCAGAAAACGGTGCAGCCTATGGCGTAAAGCTTGGCAGGTGAAATAAAGAGGAAAAAGGTGGAGTGCGCTTCCTAGATCGCAGTTTGGGGTCAGGCATTCCAGAGAGTTCCTTTTTACCGTCTGGAGGGACAGAGCAGAAAGAAAACCAAACTAACGAAAGAGGGCTGGGAAAGAACATTTTCTACATCTGAGGTGAACCGAGCCTGTCGATTAGAGTGTAATTCGTTAATGTGAGAGCCCATCTGTGGTTTTTATTACCATCATATGAACACTGACTAGAAGGCATCCATGCTTATTATAGAAAATAATAACAGCAAAGTTTCAGGAAGAAGAAAATCTTGAATCCCATTTTACAAAGGCAGGGGATGGTAGGAAGAAAGAAGTATTCACTTTCAAAACGGGACACTCTTAGGCCACTCACAATAAGAGGGGAAAGCAGCATTCCTGGTATGAACCAACAAAATGTCTCAAGTAGATAACATAGTATCTATTAATATATTGGTAATCTTTTAACAGATTGATGTCATAGTGAAGGCAGAAGAATGGAAAGGGAGCCCTCCCAGATTTAAGCTCCATGAGAGTGGCATGCGCTGTCCCCTAGGCTCTCCAGGAATTATTTGTTGAGTGAATGAAGTGGGAGTTTTGGAGTGACATATAACCTTAATTAGCTGCACATATTTCCTTAAGTGTAACTTCCAAGGAGACTGTGTGCATGTGCAGAGATGGAATCCATTTGTAGCACTTAATCTTGTATCTCATATCCACTGTGAAAAAGAGAAGAGATTAAACCATAAACAAAAGGCAGTATCCCCCCACCAATATTTCAGTACTTACGTGAATCATCAAAAACAAGTGAAAACCAGCCCAGTACTGGTGATAGGACCATTTGCAACCGGTACTGACAGTTTCTGTTGCTTCTAGTTCCGGTGGGGAGGAGCCCTTTCTCAATATAAGGGGAATAAAGAAGTCACTTCCTCAGCTGTCATCATCTTCCAGCAGATTGAGCAAGAATATTTCAAGCACTACAGAAAAGGTGGTGTAAACTTTGGAGGGAAATCTAGATTTGTTCTGTTTTTCTGTGCATGTTTGTTTCACGTGTGTGTGTGTCCATAGTATTTTTTTTTACTGCATGTCTGTTTTTTAGACAGCCCAGCAAACCATAAATGATGATCAGCCATGTGATTTTTTCAAGAAAGGGAATAGGATGAATATATCTCATCAGAAAAGCAGGTAAACAAGTTTTCATATAATGGCTTTATCTAGCAAAAGGCATGTTATCACTGTTCCCCAGCTTGAATGTGTGTGGTTACAAAGTAATATATGTCTGTGGATAAGAAATATATATTTGTATTTCTTATCCACCAGAAATGAGTGGGCAAAGTGTTTTAAACATTACCAGTGAATAAAAATTTCAGAGGCCATAATTCTGCCACATTTAGCAGAAGCTACAATTTTGGATAAGCCCCTTTATCATCTTTTTGTGTTCATGTCCTTTTATATAAAAGGGACACTGATTATAATTTTCATGGATGCACACTGATAGCTAGAGGTAAACAAAAGTTTTAACAGGATTGGTTTTAAGTTCTAAGTAATGGCCATACGTCTATTTGTTCAACTTTTATTGACACACATTATGCCACTGGCAACAACTGAACATCCTCCACATTTATTAATGAAGAGGTAACCCTTGTCAAATAATTGCTTAGTGTGGTAGAAACCCCTGGACAAATGAACCCCTGGAAAACATGTTTTCCATGTATTTCTTCTACCCACCTGACTAATATTACTGAGAAGTATTATTAATCTTAGTAAAATGCTATGTTCTTGGTAAATAAATTGAAAATATTTTCAACTCTGCTATGAGAATCTGCCTCAGAGTAAGTCACCCCAGCAAGAATCAGGTGCTCTGCTAGTAATGTACACAGAGCTCATTATCCCCACTGACCCGCCATTGAAAAGAGCATTAGCCCCATTTTTCATTCATTTTGTGTTCAAGGCACCTTGTAATTTTATTTCTGTCCTTTAAACACAATTTAAAACACAATTTTGAAAACACTTTAGTAAGCTTTTGGTTTAAGGTATAGATTGTATATGCTACACTTTTTCATATTGAGATTTTGGTTGGCTCAGAATCCCCACCAATCAGTGATTAAGTTTAATGAAGCTTGCATTTTACATCTTTACTTCTAATTTAAAATAGGCATGTAAAAGAAAGCTGTGGATTTTACTTCCTAATGTTATTAAACACTGCTCAGCATTAACTGGGTGAGAGTTCTAAGACAGATTTTTTTCCAAATTAATGTTTTTTAAAATACAATTGGCCTAAAATTATAATATAGACACATTGAGAAATGTTTATGTTTTTCTTAAATGCTAGTATTTGGTATAAAACAGAATCCATGCATTTACTTTTGGCACCTGTATTACATAATGGTTCTTAAAGTATTACCTGGGAAATTGTTCTGTAAAGTGTTCTATTTGAATGATCCGCTCTGTAAGGAATTAAAGGCCTTATGTTTTCTAATGCCTAGTGAGAGAGCTGATGTACCTCTAGAGGATTCTTTTCATGTATTCGTTTAATCATAGCCGGACCAGTTTTTGTCATATATACTAAGACTTGCAGTTTTATTTCTCACAGCAATACGAATGCTGGCCCATCTTGGAATAAAGTACAGTGCTCAAAGAATTCGTCAGGAAAAAGGCAGAGCAGATCCCAAGCCCCCCACGTTTCCCCCCAGCTACGAAGCAGCCTTGGAAGCATTCCCCAGCTGACTGAGGATAGACTTAAAGAAGGCGTCTCCCCCAAAGACAAAACTGAGAGGAGGAGTCTCCTCAGTTCCGGGTGTCGGGGGGCCTCAGGGAACAAACTGTTTCTGGACTTCCAGTCAATGAAAATTATGAAAGACACCGATGAGGACAGCGCAAGCGACCTCTCTGATTCGGAGAGAGTCCCTGTTCCTCCTTCTCCCCTCACACCTCCAGATCTTAACCTTCGAGCTGAAGAAATTGATCCCATTGACTTCAGTCTTCATCCAGGTCAGGGCTCTGCAAAGCCCGAGTACTGTTACCCTGACTTCCTTCCACCCCCTTTCAACTCTTGGGACCTCCGGGACATGGCTGGGCTCCCACCCGCAGAGCACAGGACTGGAGTCGGGCTGCGAACTGGAGGACTTCTCGGAAAGTACATTGATAGGCTTATTCAGCTCGAGTGGCTGCAGATCCAGACCGTACAGAGTGAGAGAGGAAAGGCGGCCAAAGCCAGGCCTCCCACAGCCCCCGGGACCGCAGGGCCTCTGAAAAGCCCTGGGCGAAGCAAGCTCTTTGCAAGCGCTCTGTCCAGGCCTCACCACGAAGGGGCTTCAAAGTCAGGCCCTGCATGGAAGAAAGACTTTCACCACGAAGAAGCCCTTCCATCATACTGCACATTGGAGACATCCTCCCAGTCCCTCGGTGTGCTGAGTAGTAGTAGATTAGGTTCTCAGAAGCAGACTCTTGACATGAGGACAGAGGAGAAGAAAAAGAAATCAAAGAAGAGTAGCGGGCTGCGGCGCTGGGACTTACCATGCAGTGCCGGCGGCCCTCGGGTCGCGAGCAGTGGTGACATTCGGATTCCCAAGCAGTCGGGGCTGATGGTGGACTCCACCGACCCCCTGAAGGCCTCCAGAACACCAGCGCGTGTGAACCTGAAGAAAAAGGGAAATGTCAATAACTGTGGCCATGCCACTCTATCCAGTGAGAAGAAACTCAAAACAAATGGGGTAAAGCAAAACACATTTAAGTTCAAACCATAACCAAAATGCTGGCTTGCGAAGACCTGCAAATATCTAAGTATTAGACCTTTTCCAAAAGTTACAGCCCTGTGATTTTTAAGAAATGTTACTATTGACATTTTAGTGTAGACCCCACCCAACCCAGGCATACTAGTGTTTCCAAAGTAAGGTGTCCTTCAATAAGCCTTTTTTTGTATTGACAATCTTAAGCAAATGAGAGCCCTTCAGTTAAAAGTTGTCCAAGGTCTATGTCATACAAAGAAATAAACTGACAGGTCTCCTGGGGAGGAACAAAATAAACTCTGAACAGCAGTTCGCCACGTACACCAGCAGTGGTGATGTTTAACTCCCCGTTTTCACTGCACATAAATGCATGAAGTAGTGCAACTGCTCTCAACGGTTTAGAATTGGAAACGTCTGAAATGGGGCGCTCGGCAGCCGCCTCGTAACCTGTGCAAAGAGGCCTCTTCAGTTTACAGGTGACAGTGAAGCCCATTTGCGTGTTCTGTAAACTGAGGCTAACATAGTGCACAGACTGGGCAGGTGGAATGCCGTGGGCTTAAGTGTGATCCTTGCTATCTGGTGGGAGGTAAGAACAGCACATCGGGCACCCTAGCATTTCTCTGGAGAGAAGCAACGGGAAAGGCACCTTTTACAGAACTTGTAAATGAAGGGCCTATAATCCGGATAGGAACACGGAGCCACTGTGAATGTAAGAGTTATTGCAGGCCTGTTTTGGTACCTGGATCCTGCTGTCCATAATCAGAATAATGATGAGCTGCTTTGGTTTGCAAGAGCAGGATTGCGCAATCTTGCTGGAGGGCACAGGGGAGAGGACACATTTAAAGAAGGAGGGCCAGCAGAAGATGGATCAAGTTCCTGGGTGGTTCCTTATTATTTATCTGCAGTTAGGTCACACCTACCTGCCCCTACTGTGTGCTGCGAGGCTTCTTTTGGTATCACAGTGAATATCTTTAAAGCCTCTGGTTGACTACTTCTCAATAGACAGTGTGGTTTAATGACTGTAGCTGATTGGTTATCCCTTTGAACAATGATTCTATTTGCTGTTTTACATGTTTCTATTTTTTTACCTTTGGGACAAATGAAAATCTTGGCACTTTTCATTTGCCAATGTAGAGTAGCCTGCAGACTTTCCACACCGCTGTCATACACGGCATTTTTAAAGTTAACATCTGGACAAGATGAGTTTATCATGAAAATGATGAGTAAAAGTTCAATATCAAGATTGCCTTAAAATCTGATTTTAATCATATTGAACAACACATAAAATTTTTATGATAGTCTTTTTCTTCCAGTACTTTATTTCCAGATTTTTTCAGATTCCCTCCTATATTCTTTAATCTGTCACACCACCTGGAGAAAGCATGCTCTCACACTAAGGTCTCCCACCTTTTTATACGAACGGAAGATGTCCACCTAGTAGGCATTGCTTCTCTGGCTCTCAGTTACACTGTGACTCTCGTACTCAGTATATACAGTGCATTTTGAAGATCGCGTTTTTCTTATCCTCACTGTGGCTCCTGAGTGGTGCCCCATGTGTCCCTCACCTGCCCTCCTCCTCATGAGCGCAGATGGACTAGTTCTTGAACACGCTGGCACGTCACTCATGATTTTCCCTGCTAGCTTTTTTTTGCAGCTCTTAGTTAAGTTTCAGGGCTGATAATCTCTGAAGTACATACTCCTGGTATTATACTAAGTGGTTTGCACTGAGTTGCTGCTTTTCCCCATCATGCACCTGAGGGGTGCTCTTGGAGATGCTGATGGGTGACGTGGCCAGGGTCTACCTCTCCAGCTTGTGTACATCTGAGCTGAAGACCATCCTGATTACAAAATTTAGAGGAAATTCCTCAGATGTTACATGTATTCTATGCTCTTTGAATTGAATTGCTTAACTTGGGGAACAGTCATAATGTCTTACATGTTAAGACACTTTTAAAGCCTGAAACAGTGACTTTGCTTGTTTACGGTTTTGCCTCAGGTCGATGGCTTCTTTTAACCAATATGGTGGTTAGATCTGAGCTCCTAATGAACAGCATAGGTTCATTACAGAATGTAAGCACAATCTTATGATTTCTGATATGCATATCTAATACATCTTAACATGCTAAAGGCTGTAGATAAGAATCTTGTCATTTTCAAGTAGACAACATTGGAAGGTTAAGTCTGAACTAATTCAGTTCATCAAGTCTCAGCACTGAACGTCAATGCTAGGTAAGTGACAGGAGTCACTGTATTTCTAAGAAGTGCCTCTCATTTCTGGGGAGTTGGTTACTTATGTGTTGCATTTAAACCAATTAAAGTAAGGTTAAAAAAAACATTTAGAGACTGTAAGAACTACTTTGCAGGGTTGGCTTCAGTGGAAAAAGTTGTGAAAAATATAAAAAAATGAACTATAAAAATATGTCAGTATTAGCTACAAGTGTTTAAACTGAGACTATTTCTCAACTCTTTAATGACTAAACTGGCTGAAGGTCTGTAATGAACTTGAATCATGTGGGATTGATGACCTACGACTAAAGAGATAGGGGAGATGTCCTTGGTCTTCTGATAGCTACTAGCTGAGAGGACTGTGTCTGTAGTGGTTCTAGGTCCATTGGCTTAGTCTCCAAAAAGGCAGAAGAATTTCCACCTTACGTGATTTAAAATTGTTATTGCCTCTTTTGTTTATGCACACTTGCTTGAGTAGTTACCTAAAAATGTAAAAGCCTTGGTGCTATTGCACTTCAAGGTAATAGAGAAGCAGTATTTGTTATTTATTCATGTACCTGTGCAAAGCTCCATTCAAAATGGCCTAAAAATATTCAGCACGTTTGCTGTTTGCTGTTATAATTATTGTACACTTGGCTTTGTATAGAATAAAACAGGATTTTTCCTTCCCTGTTCTGGATTATTCCTTCCTTTAGATCATGTGGGCAGTAGAAAAATATTGTCTGGATTTTCCTGGTATGGTTTTGTTTTTCATGCGTTTCTCTTTCCAAGTTTGTCCTGTTCCTCCTGGGTTATGTCCGAGGACTGCTGAGGAGGAAGTCTGTTCCAGCTCCTTCCTTAATTCTAACCAACAGACAGGACAACGGACGACATCACTAGGCGCCCCTGAGAAGCTGTACATTTCCTGAGTCCCTCTTCTTCTTACTGCCCCCAGAAGGCACTGAGGGTTAGGAAAGCAGAATGGAAACTCAGTAAAATTAAAGTAGCATGAGACAGAACTCACACCGTCACCCAAACTGGCCCTTTCCAGGATGTCGCTGGACAGGTGAGGGCAGCTTTGGGCAACTACTGCCGGGCATATCCTCAAAGGCCCCTTTCTCCTCCTTCCAAACTCTCTCATGACAATGATGTGCCTTCTTCTGAGTCTACCAAATAGTGGGCAGCTTAAAAAATAATTTTTAAACTAAGTTTTAATACATAATTAAAATATAATTTTTCATTAAAATATATAATTCTATTTGAAAACATTAAACTGGGTAAATTTTAGAGGTCTTACTGGCTTTATTCAATGGTTCATGGTTTGGGCAGCACCGATCTAGCAGATAAAGGAGCTCCAAGGACCTGTTGGGCATGGATGATAGAGGCAGGAGGGAGGGGACAGGGAGTCACCCTAGGCAGACGTGGGCTGACTGTATGCAAAGCGACTGTGCTCCGGGGACAGCAGGGATCCTGTCAGGCAGATGGCCCACCTCGCTGCTGGGGCAACCCCTGACGGACTACTCTGAGATTCCTTCTCTGGGAGAACCAGAATTGTAATGAAGTCTCAGTTTGGTGATGGGCTTGGCATGAGTGAATCCATTTGGAGCCTGTTGTCTTATTTTAAACAAGAGTGGAGGGAGTTAAAGATAATTTTTTCGTAGTTTAAAAATTAACCATGGTAGAGGTTTGAGTCCTTAGTCTGTACAGAAAATGGTACATTACTTTTGGAGGTTGCTATTTTATCCACGAGGTGACAACGACTAAGCCTTTATGGGTAGCTCTGGATTTGTTCTGAGCGCACCTTCCCATCAAATGAAAAGGTTTTGATGATAGCCAAAAAGAAATGGGAGAGAAAAGGACTGTTTGACTTCAGACATGTTCTTTATTCAGCTTCACTCTGCCATCAGAGACTTACGTGGTCGGTTCATGTCGCCAGGTGCTGTTGGGTACACCGTATCACTGCTAAAAGACACATCCATGTGGAGGCATGTGCAAAAGGGTGTAAGTTCAAGTATATTGAGAAAAAGCTGATTCAGGTCGGCCAAGGCCAGACCGGAAGTGGTTAGGAGCCTCCGCCCGCATGGGGCCAGGATTTCAAGCGAAGGTGCAAAAGCGAGGGAGTTACTTGCTGGCTATCACTTCGGTATTTGCGTTATTTGGGAGAGCGTCACCGGTTGGCTGTGACTGGTGGTTCTTCCTGGTCTTGAGGAATTCGCAGGAATTGACTCTGGCTCCAGTTCTGGTGTGCGTGCCTACGTATGAATGAACTAAAACTTTTTACTTGGGGTCTCAGAAGAGCAATTTGGGGAGCACAGATTCCGGAGTAACCTCAAAAGCGTCCCACTTGTGGGAAAAGCGAGGGAATTTTAGGAGAAAGATGAGGGAGCAATTACATGATTCAGATGAAGAAGAGAAGAGACCGACTTTGGTGCCAGTAGGTTGAGCTGCTTTGGGTTAACCTCTGATGGTGGTGCTGGTGCCATTAAACCAAGCATCAGTCCACTGTTCTGTCACCATAAAGCTCGAGTTTTGAGGCCTGAGTGCCAGTCCTGTTGGATTTTATAAGAAAATGCTGATAAAACAGTTATTGGTTTTGGCCCAGCTCAAGAGTGTGTTTGTTAAAAGGCAAAGTGGAGATTCAAAATGGAGTTTCTCATGTCCAGAAATTGTACACAATTCCATATAAGCTATCAAATCCCCTCAGTCTAATGGCCTCCTAGATGGATGACTTAAACATCACAAAACATGACATCTAGCACAAAATAATGCTCAAGGACGTTACATGTCATTAACTTACACAAATCTTCATAGAGACCTTGTTTGAAAAAATAAGATTCAACTATTCTGGTCCTCAGCAATTTGATTACTTAAGGAATTAACACTGGAAAATATACATGGAATTTTAAGTAGTGGGATAGTCATGAATACAATTTATGGTCCTAGCTCAAATGATATTTTAGAGAAAACCAAAGATGTGTATTTAACTGTAGATGACATGCAGCTAGCAGTTTCATGCCTCACTACTCAGACTGTGGGCCCACCTCAGACCTAGAGAATGTGTAGCAGCACAGAACATGCCACCCCAAAATACGCCACCCCTATTTTGAGTTGAAGGCACTGGAAAACAAAAACAAAAACAGGAAAACACTCCAACCTCTCTTCTTTTCCTTAAAAGCAAGAGATGAAATTCCTACATGAAAGATGCCTCCCCTGTACCAGAGGAAAAGCACCCCTCTTACCATCAGGATCAAAAAAGCTAAGACAGAGAAAATTCTACATGGAGTTTATTTGTTAAAATAATTCTGACCTTCCTCAGCTTCCCCACATACTTTAGTCACTTTTCCACAATTGCTTCTCTTTGTTCAACTTAACATAAAAGCAAGTAAGTGTTACCATTTCTTTGGGTCTTCCTTCCTTATGAAGGGTCCTATGTCAAGTAAAATTTGTATTAAATAAATCGGCATGAGCTTTTCCTGCTGTCAATGCCTTATGTCAACGTAATTCTCAGGCCCAACCAAAAAGAACCGTTAAATGGCTGAAGGACAGCAGAATTTGCCATCCCAAAATATGCCTCTCTGCCATAGGGTTATTTTAGGCTGATTATTTTTGACACAGGAGAAACTCTAAAACTGAGCTGAAGTTGCCCTTTTAAAAGAACACTGGGGTGCCTGAGGGAAATCCAGGGTGTAAGGGTGTCCCCTGCTGTACCCGGAAGAGGAGGATGACTCATTCTCCAAAGCCTCTTATCAACTCTTATCTTTTTAAGGCCGGGACTTTAACTGTTAACAACCATGCTTGTTAAGGGTCTTTCCGGACAGCTCCCTGCAAACAGCTCCCAACACCCTCCACACTTATCTTTAGCTGGACACAGTATTTAAGGGGGTGGCTTGGGCCATTTCAGGGAAATACTCAGTTTTCCTGGGTCTCTCCCAAACATACAGTAAGTATACGTGGTATTAAACTCGTACTTGTTTTTCTCCTGTTAGTTTGTCTTTTATTATGGGGGCTAGGGGGTGGGGTCTCAGCCAAGAACCTAGAAAGTGATTTTTCCTCCCCCGTAAGGGTAAAGGTCAAAGTTGACCTCCCCTCCAGAATGAAAGCCTGAAATTTTAAGCAGCTCTCCGGTGGGAAAGTCTGAGACACCTGCCTGCATGGCACGCAGGAGTGTGCCTGCTTGAACTGGCCATCTGCAGCTGACCAGTCCCCTCTCCTTGCTGTGGCCTCTAATGTCTTTGGCTTCTCTGTTTACTCCAGGGGTAGAGGCAGTGGGCTATCTCTTTGTTCAAGAGTAGGTCACTAAAATGAGTCATTTATGGCCTCTGATCATCTGCAAGTGAGATCTCAACTAAGGAGTTAAGATTTTTTACAGCAAGTCCACCTTGAGCTCATTTTTCTGATATTCGTATACTTCTATTTTTGAATTCCAGCCATGGAAAACTCGCTGCATCCTTCTGGCCAGGTTTAGAAGAGCCACAACTACCTGTCCCCAGGCAGCTCCTCGAAAAGCGTTTCTCCAGAGAGGTCCGTCTTGCTTAAACAAAAGAAAAGGAAGGCTTCACTTTTTTTCTCTGTTGCTTGATTTTCTACATATTGGAATGAAATGCCTCTTATTTAGGAGTCTTACGCCATAATGAAAGGAATGATCTACCATGTTTAACTGAAGATGTTGTACTTTTAAAAAGTATATTATTTTTTACCTCAAAAGGATGGTTTTGATGGTAAATAAACAGCTTCAAATTTCTTTCTCCCCTTATCTTCATTCTCCTTCCCTAAAAAAGGGAAAAAATTTTATGTACATAAATGACTGAAAAAAAAGAGCTTAGAAATTCTATATTATTTATTTTACAACACCTGGGAAGAGCAAAAAATGCAGACACTCCAATCGGTGTACCTGGCAGTGTGTTTTCCTGATTGCTCATCTGCAACGATTAGTTGAGGAAATAGGGGCAAAAGATTAAAGTCTCTCAACGGAAATGTTCTGGCCAGCTCTTGGTGGTTGGTTCAAAATACTACAGCATAAGGAACCCCACTTTCTGATCCGTCTATGTGACTACTAATGGATCAAAACAGAAAAGACTCCTTAGTCACTGAAAATAAATTAAGAAACACAAATGAATTATTTTATTCTTATGTGAAGTCTAACACCCTTCGGTTCTTACACACGTTATACTGGAGCACACATGTTAGACACACGATGTTAGATATTGGGGCAAAACTAAGCTTAATCATAACTAGGGATTTTTTTTACTGCTGGAGTCAGATTCACTTTTCTGATTTTTTTCCCCCCAATGTGGTATTATAGAAAAGTTTTCGACTGTACTTGAAAACTTGAAAGAACTCAACAGTGAATGCCCACATGCTCACTCTCTGGCTCGACGGTCCTGCCTCGGGCATCCCTTCACCCACTGCCTCTGCCCAGCACCCAGCTCTGCGCATTTTCCACCTGCGGTAGGCAGCTCTCGGTGCCTCCCGGCCCTTGTCCATCAGTAGGCTGGGCTTCTGGGAGCCACATCCCCAGGACTGGAGGCAAAGCCCTCCCCTGGGTTTTTGGTTTTGTTTTTTTCCATAACTCTTCCTGGGACAATTCTGAGAAATTAAACTTCTCTTGTGGCTATGCAGGAATGGGAGCTTGGACTCAGAATTATCTGATCGGAAAATAAATTGTAGGCGAGTGGATATCCATGGTGAGGTCTCAACCCAGTGAAGGTCTGCACGTGGCCCATTTGGTTTTTCCTGATTGGAGTTTTCAGCCCTTTCCAAGCACTTTCCATCCCTCACTTCCATCTTGGGTACATTTCCCAGGCTCTTCAGTTGAAGAAACCAGCCCAGTTTAAAATGCCAGGGTCAGCCTTGATTTAAACCCAGCGTCCTCCTGCCCCTCCCAGCGCAGGCTGGCCTCCTGGTCAGCATGTGACAGTAGGTTGGCGAGCTTGGCGCCTCCCCCCCACAGCACGGAGAGGCGGCCGTGGCTGTGGTTCGCACCTGGGACACCTCTGCTCCCTCCGTCTTCCAGGCCCTGGTTCCTCGGTGCTGGGGGCAGACGAAAAATTAAAGGGAAAGCCCGTGTCTCCCTCTGACAGACCCTTCCTCCTCGCTTCCCTGAGGCTGGTCCAGCTCTGTGCAGGTGGTGTCCACGGGGCCCAACACCGGACATCTCTGCGCGGCACGCGGTGCCCTCCACCCGCGTCATCCCTCTTGGGGCAGGAAGAAGGCTCGTGCCCCACCATTTCCCTTCTTGGACGTTTACCTGACCGGCATGAGAATGCTGTCTCCTCGCCATGCCAGATGCCAGATGCAGGAAGCGCTGGGCACCACTCCGCATCCTTCTCCGAGTCCTGCTGTCAGCCGCAGCTCCCTGCTCCTCAGCTGGGCAGAGCACCTGGCCAGCCAGACTGCCCCTCGGCAGAAGTCTGAGCGGGGATGGGACACCAGGCCTTGGCGTCACCCTAAGTCCCCGTGACTTTTCTGCTGCTCCCGTTCCATTCACTGGGAAAACCCAACCCACTTACTCCCCGCAGTGGAAGGAAAGCGTCCCGTCCGCTCTTAGGGAAAAAGAGGCGTGCAGAGGGCAGCTGACATCCCCCAACCCCCACTCCTGACTACAGTGGGTGGCAGGGCGGGCGGGGAGGCTGGGGTGACAGGACTGTTCCGCCGTATGTTTAGGAGCCCCGAGGTGTGGGGCCCTGACTGTCGGTGTCTCTTTTCAGAACGTCATGGATGTATTGCCCCCTTCCTCCCAGTTGAGGGCCCTGCTCACCGATTCCTGGGCAAGAAGAAGCTTCCCATGCAACATGCTTTTCCCTGGAAAGACAGAAAATGAACATGCTTAAGTCGTCTTGATTAACAACCCTGAAAATGAGACTCAGTGAGCGCTTGACTTTGGTGGAAACCCTGATTGACACAGCAATTCAAGACAAAATTAATCCTTTCTTAGAAGCACTCCTGATGTGTTTATCATTACAAAAAAAGCTGAGGCCTCGGGGTAGGTCGGGCACCCTCAACACCCAAGGTGAGAAGGTTGAGTGTCGAGTCCAGATAAGCGATTGCAGCTCATACTTCCTTTTAACAATCCTTTATCTCACAAGCGACCCCATCTCTTCTGTTATCAGCTTCCATTGGTCTGGGAGCTGCCACCTTGCGGCCATAAGGCATTACTGCACTTCTGAGGACTGGGGAATGGGGTACTCAGAACAGAAAGGGAACCTTGACCCCTTTCAGTTCATGTTCATCTGAGACTTACGAAGGTGAAGCCCAGGTCACCCAGCCTGGGAAGGGTTGCCTTATTGGAAACTGACTTCTTTGCTCAGTTATTTTTAAGTGTTTGGGGATGTTGAAACGTTGGTTGTTTTTCATATATCAAAATACCAATTTCTTTCAACTTAGAGCACAGGTAATGGCAGACGGACCCCTTCCTTAGAACCCCCAGGCCCCTCCAGGCCTCCGGAGATCAGCACACTGCCTTCCAGCAACACATCGCCCACCTCAGCAGCTTTCCAGCGTTAGGGCGCTCAGCCTGCACCTTTTCCCCTACAGACGTTCACGGTTTACTTACCTGACCGATAAATTCTGTATTAGTGCTTCTAACGTAACACGTTTAAATAGACTACTATAAAATTAAAAAATGTCCACTTTGAAAATAAGCACAATGTTATAAATTCGCTAATTGTTTCTCTTTATGCATAAGAAATATTTAGAGACCTTAAAATTGCATTTTCTTTCAATAATCTTTTTGATAACAAGTTATTAATTTGGGTTAATAAAGTATTCAAATTATAAGATTCTAGAGCATCTTAGAGGGCTATGAATGTACAGTAAGACAAGAAAGTTTACCTCTTTTGGGTCTCCTAACCCACTGTTTGTATTTTAAACAAGGGAGTGTGCTAAGGTAATCAGGGCTAATAGATCTCAGATTTTGTTCTAAACTTGAAGTATTGCTACAGTAGCATCCCAACTTGTCCTTTTCTCCCAAATTCTAATGCAAAGACCCTGAAATTGGTACAGAGACCCTACCCGGAGGGAGTCTCCCATTTCTCCTTCCTTCTCCTTTAATCCCAAAGTCGACAAGGAGATTCATCCAAGTCTGTAGCCCCAGAGCCCCAAGACATGGTTGGGGTAGATTGTTACATCTTTGGAAAGGGAAAGGTGTTTTCTTTTTCTTTCATTTTCTTTTCTTTTTTTTAATAATAATATTATTCTTTCTTGGAGTCCTTTTCTAGTTCTTTTGTTTCAAAGGATAGAAATTATAGGAAATGGTCGTTAAAATATCCTGCTGTAGAAAGAGATCACTGGGCATAGATTAAAAACCAAAAAGACACAACACCCTGCCCCCGCTGCTCCCCTGCCCGCCCCCACGTTTCCTCGAGATTCTGGTTTCCTGTTCTTTGGCTGAACCCTGCTCCCCTGGAGTGGGCCCCAGCCCTGTGCCCCGTGTCTGTGAGCGCGTGTGGTCCTGGCAGCCCTTCTTCCTTCTACTCCTTTCCTAGGGACTCTGCTTGTCACGTATGAGGTTGGGCTTAGCGCCCAGCCCACCCCCACCCCCACCCCCACCCCCACCCCCACCCTCACTGCACTCTGAGAAACAGAAACGGCCCAGGAGAGGCGAGGAGGAAGCTGAGATGACGGTGCTCGGGACGCAGTGCCCCGAGCTGGGAGGGCAGCGCCTGGCTCCGGGGAGGCCTGCGCGTGGGGGTTCCTGACGCCTGTGCACGCTCTGGGCGTGTCCCGGGCAGCCCCACGCAGCCATGGGCTCCAGGGCCCACACGTCACTGCCCCTCCTAGCACTGCTGCTGCAGGTGAGCTGGACTGGTGCCCAGAACTCGGGTGTGGGTACGCGTGGGCATGGGAAGGGCAGCTCCCACCGGCCTTGCCTCTCCTGGGATGAAGGGAGGGGAGAGGAGCTGAGCAGTCTGGCCGAGACTGGTGAGGAGGGCACCTGAGCAGTGGGCAGCGGGGAGCTGGCCTTCTTTAGTGTGGTAGGCAGGGGAGCCCCAGAGTTCCAACAAAGGAGGGGTTTAGGGTCCCAGTGTTTGGGGGATCACGGGCATGGGCTGAGGGGACTCATCTTAAACCTGGCTGGTATGGCACACCCCAGTTTTATTTAGACGTACATCAAACAACGTGTTAAGATGGAACAACCCTCAGCTGTGTAAGGGAAAAACAATGTGAGCAGGCTGATGGGGATGGGAAGGCCACCCCTCCTGCCCCACCGGTTACACTGCTAGGCAGAAGGGCACCCCGTGGGATCCAGGCAAGAGAAAGAGGGGCCTGTGGCGTTTGTACTCACAGCGGCCACAGTTGGTGTTGCCATGCTTGTTGGCTGTGACACAGACGCAGACGGAGCCCATGAGCTTTCACTGCTGTTGAGCTTTTCCGTTTAAAACCAGAAGTGGGAGGTAGTCCAGGGGTAGGGGGCAGAGTGTGGGTGTGGACTGGGCTGCTTAGCGTCCTAACCCAGACTTACCCACTTCCTGCTGGGGATCTGGGCCAAGTGCTTGAGCTTGATCCTCACCTTGGCTCAAGCTGGACTCCAGGTAGCTGCTTGGATGCCACCCACCAGAGGTTAAGATTCGGCTGATCTGGGAACATGGCCCTGGTTTCCAAAGTTTTAACTCAGTCTTATTAAGCCTCATTTCTTTCACCTGAAAACAGCTAACATTTCTATTTACTTGACCTGGTGGTTGGGGAGTCAGTGAGGAAATCACAGAAGGGCTTGGCGCAGCAGTGGGTTGGCCGATGTGCTCCTAGGTCTGCCTGTGGGTACCTGCCCTGGCTCAGACTCTGTAACAGGCCCTGTGGATGACACAGAAAACAAAGTGGGGGGAGAGATCCCATCCACAGCATACATGCTTGTCTTGCCAGTGGGTTTCAGCCCTGGACAAGTTCACTGTGGATTCAGTGAGACCCAAAAAATGACAGTGGAACATTCCTGAGGTGAAAGGGTTTGTACCCAACTTTATTTCCACGGTGGCAGGTCAGTCACTAGAACCCATCCACTCAGAGTGAGTCTGCAGGCAGCAGGCCGGTCTCTGCCTCTGGGCCTCTCTGCCCCAACAGCGTCTCAGTCTCTGTCCTCGGCGCTGCCACCACTCCAGCCTCTGCTCTCCTGCAGCCGTGCAGCCCAGAGCCCTGGGTGGAGCTCTTTAAAGAATCAATAACAATGTATTGCCCACATGTGTGCAGTGAGCAATCCGACCAGGGCCAGGGGAGAATCCTGGCCACAGGAACCTTCACTTTCTCCACTGTGCACCCGTGAATGCTGCTTCTGAACATGGATGCCTTGCTGGGCACTGGCTGCCTGGCATTTAGAGAATTTCCTGGCTGCTGTTTGCATATTGAGTTGTGAGTGTTCTTACCCAGCATCATTTCTTTTCTCCAGCACTGTGTAGGGTCCTGCTCTCGAAGCCCATTTTGGCCTGGATTTGAATGTATTGCAAACCTGTCCCACCTTCCCTTGCTCCTGTCCTGGCCTCACTGGCCTTATCAGAAACCAGAGGCATAGTTTCCTCCTCTGATGTACCAGCATGAACCTGGGCAAGTTAATTCAAGTCTGAGGGTGTGTTGGGTGGAGTGGGCAGCAGCAATTGGACTGTGGGTAGTAATTCAGTGTTTGTGAAAGCAGCTTTATACAGATTCTGGGGGATCAAGACAAACAGAGAGTGTGAAGCAATAAGAATCAGATGTTTTCTGCAATCCACATTCCCCACCCTGGACTGGGCGGAGCGGGAGGCTCAGGAGACTCTCGGTTACCTGACAGATCGGTTATGTAGAAACTATTCATTTCCTCTCCTTTCCTCCGCGGGGCAGGTTGCCTTGTAACCCTGTCTGTTCTCCAGAATTAAAATGGGCACTGGTTCTGCTGGGGGGCTGTTCCGTCCCCAGCAGTTCTCCCTGCAATCCCCACACTCTAGCTTTGGTATCCTGACGGGAAGCAAAGCACCCTTGTCACTCTTCTGCAGGTTTATACGTCTTTGTCCCCTATTCAATGACAGCCACGGAAGGGGGTCCCTCATTTCTAGTCCTGGGAGTCCAGAAGCCTTAGCTTTGGGCGGCTGCGGGCTTGCCAGACCAGGGAGGGGAATCAGAGTGGGCAGGGAGCCAACCAGTTTTGCTTCATTGCTGTTTTTAATTGGGAAGATTCTGAATCAAGTTGCCTTCAACTCACCTGGTCAACTCACTTAATCCCTACACTCAGCAGAGGTGGGGGAGTGCAGAGGTGAGGGTGGAGAGGTCAGAGGCAAGGCAGAGCCCCCAGCTGGGGCAGAGCAGGCTGTGCTGTCGGAGCAGCCCTGGGAACCCAGCTAATGCCGCAACAGGATGAGATCTGCACTTTTTTTTTTAAAGAGCCCCAAGCTTCTGTGTGGAGAATAGATTTGGAAAGTGTATTGTGTCCTGGGGCTGTCATGAAAAAAGTACCAGAACGGAGTGGCTTCAAACAGCAGAAACCTACAGCATGGAGGCTGTAGTTAATAAGCCTGCAGTACACATTCGAAAGTTGGTAAAGGGGTAGATCTTAAAAGTTCTTATCACATGGAAAATTCTGTAACTATGTGTGATGATGGATGTTAACTGGTCTCATTGTGGTGATTATTTCACACTGTGTACAAAGATCACTATGTTGTGCACCTGAAACTAACATACTTGTGTGTGTCATTTATACCTCCACAACACAATTCTCCTTGAATGAAAGTTTGCAATCAAAAGGGAAATACTTTCAGGAAAGAATTCTTTCCATACGGTCTTCTTAGTTCTTTAGATCTCTCTCTAGACACAGAGCCTTCATGTCTCAGATAATCTCCCCCAGCATGCCATGGCCACACAGCCAGGCCAGCCCGAACAATACATCCCGGTTACATGCCCCCACCTTGTAATAAAATGCAGGTCTGCCCGAGTCCGATAGAACAGTTAGGTGGACACTGCAGCCAGACACACCAGCTCCAGAGAGCTTTCTCCCTCATATTAAAGAAGCATTATGTAAATCTTTTGAATGGTATCCTCTTTGGACTAACTGCCTAAAATTGGCAGGGATGGGAAATATAATAAGTGCACTTAAAAAACCATTTCAGCAAGTATGACTATTTCTAGTCTTCCTCCATCACCCAGACGAGCTATCTGAAGTTCATTTCCAAGGCACGCGTAAGAAGAAGAAATGGCACACACTCACACACATGATGTGAAAGCTCAGGCTTTTCTGTGCAAATCTCATTTTCAGCACTCCTGCCGTCTCTGACGTGACCAGTGGCTGTGCCGTTTATGTGCAATAAAATGAATTTACAGAGCTTTTCTGTCCATTGAAAGGGCCCTTATAGGTACCTTGTCTCATATCCTCACTTACAGAAGGGGAAGCTGAGGCCAGAGAGAAGACGAAACCTCAGGGTAGTCCCTGTGAATGTCCTGGGCAACCTGGAAATACACCTGTTTAAAAATGGAATGAATTTCTGCAATTTTTTTTGAAAAGCCTCAATTTTCTCCATTTTAAAACTACACACCTGGATAGGCCCCTAATTGAAAACTACCGGCATTAATCAAGAAGGTTTCATTGTCTGAACTAATCAATGGTTGAGATTTGGGAACTCAAAGAGTTTAGAAATTATTTTCTTTTAGGTAAATAGAAAAGTGGCAGGCAACAAATATTACTGTTGACATTAACTACTTTTGTGTAGTGCTGGTTTTGACATACATTCAGGGATTGTCTCTATTCCAGTTGCTTTACTGCACATGTGTGCTTTTTCTGAGAGGGGAGGTTGTTGAGATAGAAATCATAAATAAACAATTCTCAGTGTAAATTATTACACATATAAAGAGACTCTATTATTTTATTCATTGTTGTAAGATAAGGTCTAAAAATGGAAAAAATAAAAGAAAAATCAGAGAAAAAGCCCTCTTGAATCCCACCACCAATTAATATTTGGTGCTTTTTTACACGTGTACATATAAATACATCGGTGCTCACCGTAAGCATCCAGGTTGATTTCCCACTTGGTTACTTACCATAACACCAGCATTTGATGGCTTTAAGTGTCCCTGCTGGTGGCAATACTGTGTCAGAACTCGTTTGGTTAGTTCTGCTGGCTACAGAAGGGAAGTGCAATTATGAATTGAGATGTTAAGAACAAGTAATTATATTTATCAAACTTTGAATCACCAAAATTAAATTCAGTTTCTTTTCCCCCTTCCAATTCCAGAAGACTTGTGGTGACTTCAGGAAGCTTCTAACTGTTGCTAATAAGTATATTCCTGACTAATTAATGTCATTTTTATTTTTAAGGTCAACATCAGCAGCAGCTTCCAACAGGAACGTGATGACCTTAATCGTCCAAGGTGGGGGTTGAGGTCAGTTTCTTAAACCAAGTGAGACTACGTTTTTCTCAGAGACAGGGTTGCAATTTCGAGTTTTTAGTGCCCTGTCAATGTTTGGTTGCAGAAAATAAATTAGTACCTAGATGTGGCCTTTTGGAATCTTGAGGGACTGCCAGAGAATTTCAGATGATGTTTTTATGTCTAATTAGTATATGAACCATCTGAGAGTATCAGAACTCAACCAGGCACAGCTAGCCTGCAGGTTCAGCCATATTATTTTCTTCTTCATGGAATTAAAATATATTAGACTGAATGTTCTCCAGGCGTGAGTGTCGGCCAGCTCGGGAAATGCAGTCAGGACCCACCACAATTGGGAGGTTTCATGCCATTCTGATTCCTTCCTTCCTGTTGTTCTTGTGATCAACTCACTTTCTAATTAAGCATTTTTTTCAGAATGTACATTTTCCTGGATAAAAATTAATGTGGCCAGAAGCCAGATTCACTTTTAATAAACAGATGATAACTAATATATATATATATAAAACACAAATGAAACCACTTTGATAAATCCTATGTGTATTCTCTTCCCTGATGTGGATAAAATGAGAGTTCCTGTGGCCAGGATTCTCACCTGGTTGTGGTTGACTAGCTCACTGCACACCTGTGGGCAATACATGGCTGTTGACTCTATAAAAAGAGCTCCGCCCAGTGCTCTGGGTGTGACATGGTGGCAGGGCTGCAAGGCTGCAGGAGAGCAGAGGCTGGAGTGGTGGCAGTGCCGAGGACAGAGGCCCAGAGGACAGCTATGTGGACAGAGGGGCCCAGAGGCAGAGACTGGCTTGCTGCATGCAGACTCACTCTGAGTGAATGGGATTTTAGTGACTGACCTGTCATTGTGAGAATAAAGTTGGGTATAACCCTTTCACCCCAAGAACCTTTTGCTGTCCATATCTTTGGTTACATTGACTCCATAGTGAACTTGCCTGGGGCTGAAACTCATTGGCAAGACACCTGACAATCTCTGAACCTAATGTCTGAGTCTAAGTCTCTGCTTTTCTGTTTCTGTTACAAGTCATAACAGAGACACAGAGCTGTCAGCACTGAATGGAAATTTTTCTCACCAGTGATTTCAGGAAGGCAGAGAGTTAGAGAGGGAGTAACTTTCTTAATCAACTCTGTTTGCATGTCTGCTACAGGGCAGGTGTTAGCTCATAATAAGCAATGATCTTTAAGCTCTGTCTGTATAGCCCCTAAAATTGTCTCATGAACTATGAAAAGTCATTGGGTGGCACATACCCCACAGTTTAGAAATGACTGTACTTGTTAAGAAAACAGGCACTTTTAATTTCTAAGCATCAGAGGCTGTTCTGAGGACGAGAGGTAATGTGAATCAAGTGCTAGCACAGGGTCGCTGGTCTCACTGCCATCTTCGTCACCATCACTGTCACCGTGATTTCCAGGGAGAGGCCGCCGGCCTCTACAGCGATCCAAGCAAGGAAGGGTTATCACCACCTTGTCACTGGAGGAGGACCCAGGACCTTTCCCCAAACCTGCTGGTGAGGTAAGCCACTCCTTGTGGGGGAGCACACCCCTTCAGGCAGGAGGGCTGTCTGGGAAGGTCCGTGCTAGTGAGGCCAGGGAGTAAAGGGGAAGGAGGAACACCGGCCTGGCCCTGGAGCCCACTCCAGCGTTCCCTGACCAGGTGAGCCTGGGGAGGCACTTCTCGGGAGTGCACGCTGGGAAAACCAGACTCACACACGGCCGGAAGGGCTGGTGAGTTCCAGGCTGTGGGCTGGTGCACTTGGCTTGCGTGGAGTGTTTTTTAAAAAAGTCATTATTTAAAAATAAGAAGATTGTGGTTACCAGATGCTAGGGGGTAGGGTCAGTGGGAGATGGATGGGAAGAAGGGAGGGAGGGAGGGAGCAGGGGCTGGGAGGAGGGGGTCATGGTTATGGTTGTTCATTGGAGACAATTTCCGTTTTGCAAGATGAAAGAGCTCTGGAGATGGATGGTGGTGATTACACGACAATATGAATGCACCTAATACCACTGAACTGTACACATAAAAATAGCTAACTAATAAATTTTTATGTCATGTGTATTTTAGTTTAATAAAACAATAGGAAAAATAGGAAGATTATATTAAAAATTTTGCACTTCTAAAGGATTTTTCAAATGGTAAGATCTAAACACCTGGGACCCACATTTGCACTAGGCAACAATTAGATGGGGCTCGAGTTACCCAGAGTGCCACAGTCCTCACCACTCCCTGTGGCTTCCCTTGGCTGAGGTTGAGTGCTGGGTGGCACACTGGAGAAGCCACATGATGATGTTGGAATGTCAGGATTTTTGCACATGGCCCATGATGTTCATTTCTATTACCTTCCTTACCCAATGGGCCTTAGAATTATTTATTGAGTGATTAACTTTTGATATTCTATGATTTCTAGAAAAAAATTCATATTTTTGCAATGTTTATAAAAATAGTATATGCCTTCTATTAAAAAAAGAATTACAGAAAGTTTTCAAGGCTCATTGGTTAAAAATCAATACTCCTAAGGGTTCAGGGGGACTCAGTGGGTTCATAGATGTAGCACATTCTTCCTGTATAAGTTGGGTGTCTTTTCAGTTTCCTCATCTGTACAGTGGAGTCAAAGATACATTATAGGGTTGTTTTTAAGATTCACCAGGTTAGGACAAGTAAGGCATAGAGAAAGTGGGCTGACTCTAAGCTCTTTCTAAATGTTAGCTCTATGATTATTACTCACCTCTCCCTGAACATATAATCAATATTGACAAATTGGTATGTATTTGCTCAGATATTTCCCTACAGATTTATTAATGTACATCTGTCCTAACAAAGTTGGATTATATGCTGAATATTGTGCAAACTGCCTTTCTCACTGCACAATATATCATCCTCTCTTTCTGGGAGAGTGCACATAAATCCTGAGGGCCTGGAGCCCTGTGATATGTCCTACTGCTATTACATGATTCTTTTCACGTGGATAGATATTTATGTCGTTTCTAATTTTTCACTCTTACAAACCAAAGTTTGGCCATGTTCCTTGTTCCTGCTCTTTGCATATCTTTTTATTTCTTCAGGATAAGTCATTGGGTACACAATGCTAAGTGTGGTCCCTTAAAAATGACTTTGAATCTGAGCCTCAATATTTGATATGCATAGTGGTTTATTCTTATCCTCTTTTTCTCCCTGTTTCTGTCCTTGCACCTGTTCAATAATATGTCTTATAACATATCATTAATGTATTTTCAGTGGACCTGGTGAGGATGAATATCCAGAGATTGGTTTGTTTTCTATGGAAGGTGATAACAGTGGAAAAATACATGTTCACCATCCTGTTGATTGAGAGACACTAACATCTTTTATGGTACCTAAAATTTTATATGCTACACTTGCATTCATTGTAAAGATCTTGCAGGAATATTGTATTTGGCAAGCATTATTTAGGCTGACTGTGTGAGATGTGGAGAGATTGATGTATTATACACCGTGGCGAGCTTTGGATGTTTGCATAGGACAGAGACGTTCTGGACTTGACTTTGTGGTGGTTTTCCTTCTAGTGACCGATACCCTAACATGAGCAGGATATCTGGAAGCATCTGGGGGTAGAGCTACGGAATGTCTGTACAATGGGCTAGTGTGGTTTTGAATGAGTCACAGTTGAGTTCTATAGAAAGAAGCTGCAAACAGACCCCATGGTTGCCCAACAAGTGGTGAATGAGGAATTTCATAGCTGGTGACAGTGTCTGGTTATACGTTGAGGTGTTCTTCATGATTTTATCACCCAACACCATGGTCTCTTATGAAAATGAAATTCAGGCTCAAAACCAGGAAAGGAAATTATAACGAAGAATGTCTGTGACTTACTTGGTGAATCATGTTACCAGGCCGACCACACGCAGGTTCTTAGGAAGTCAGCCTTTGTTCTGTTTTGACTTCTGCTGGAAACCGGGCTTGGTTCTCAGGCCTGCTTGGCTATCAAGGGGAAGACATTGCTTAACCCCTGAAAGAAGTAATTTAGGTAGGTTTTTTCCCATGACCTCAACATTTTATATAGATAATAAAATATCCACCCTGAGCCTATTGATAGGCTCTGAATCTCTAACTTTTAAACAGGCAGAAATTTTCTCAACACTTCAGAAGATATGCAAAGATACCTCTATGTCTTCACTATTCATACAAACCCTTGTCCTCCCCCAAAGAGTCTGCAGTCTGTTAAAAAGAGCAATAGAGTGCTCATAAGGGGGACCTGGATGGGGCTCCTGACCTACGGCGAGCGAGTGGGTCCCTGGGGGTCTTGTTCAGTGTGGACTCTTTCAGTGGGTCAGGGTGGAGCCTGAGGCTCTGCATCTGTAACAAGCTCCGGTCCGTGGGCTCCACAGGTTGAGTAGAGGACCTAGGACACAACAGAATGGACGTGACCTGTGCAAGGAGGAACCAGAGCATCAGTGCTGTGGGGTGGGGGGTGGGGGGTTGTTGCTGGGTGTTTGCCTCGACACCTTTAGCCATGTATTACAGTTTGTCCCTAAGAGAGTTTTCTGAAACTTGAGTTTCAGGTGGGAAAGCTTGGCACGTCACAGATACATCCCAGCGACCACTGGAGCCCAAGGGGCAAACGTGGGTGCCGTGAACAGTGTCCCCAGGGGTTCTTACAAGGTTTCAAGGCTGTGCTTAGACCTGCCTGAGTTCAAACCCACCTGCGCTCCCCCCACGCCTCGTGGCAGTGTCTCTTCCGCACTGATTTCTGCTGTCATTCGCTAGTGGTCCTCTCAGGTGACTGAGGATGCCCACAGGGCAGGGGTTCTGAGGAGTGCCCGCAGGTCCTTCTCTCTCATTGCCCTGCTTGACTTTCTCCTTAGTACCTGCTCTTACCGGACCTCCGTCTCGTTCTCTGCTGATGGTCCATCTCCCTCACTGGAGTGTAAATTTGAAGAAGGGTGAGAGCCTGGCTTATTCATCGCTCTTACCCGAGAGTCAGGAGCGGGGTTGTGTGTATAGTAGGCTCTCAAATAATTATGTCAGATGGATGAATATGCACAGCGAAATATAGTCTCTGCCTTCTGGGTGTGGTGGGTTGGATTACATCTTGCAAGAAGTTGGATTCAAGCCCTAACCCGTGGTATCTGTGAGTGTGACCTTATTTGCAAATAGGGTCTTTGCAGATGTGATCAAATTAAGGTGAGGTCCTACTGGCTGAGGGTGGGTCCTAATCCAGCAACCGGCGTCCTTAGAAGAGGTCAGAAATTTGGACACAGAAGAAGCCACAGGTAAGGAGGCCAAAAAGCTGGAGGCAGAGATTGTGCAACATGTCTAGGAGCCAAGGACCAGCAAGGACGCTGGCAACGCCAGAGGGGCCCAGAACAGACCCTCCCTCAGGACCCCTAGAAGCAACCAGCCCTGCCCACACCCTGATTTTGCTTTGGCCTCCAGACCTGGGAGGGAACAGGCCTAAGGGTTGGGAGCCACCCCGTTTGCGGTGCTTTGTCACATCAGCCAGGGAAACAAGCACTTGGGCTTACAAACTCATTGGGAAGGTAGGAGGCAGGCTTCTGGAAACCAGGAGGATTAGCAGCCATGGAGGTGGGACAAGCAAAGCATGACGGGAAACGCTGCTCAAACCGTGTTCCAGCTGGCCAGCTGCTTCTGCAGCAGAACGCTTGCTACTGGTTTTTAGCTGTCCATAAAGACGGGTGTATTAAAAATTAAACTGGATGTTGTAGAGATGAGACATTCTAGTAACACTGCTTTTCTCTTGAGGATAATGAAGGAGTCATAAAAACAGGAAACCATTTGAAAACTTGTGTTGGGGAGGTGGCAGTAGTGGTGGGGGTTAATCCACAAACTTACGCGAAAGCAGGAATACCTGTTGAGATGCTGTGAGATTGACGGCACAGTTGGACAGGGAAGAAAAGTCTGACTTTTTTCTGGGTAGGAATCTGATCTCTTTATGTCAAAATAGGCTCAATTTCATAGGTACAAACACACTCAAGACAATCATCTTGAGCTTTATATTCCTTGAAATAATTACTGACTGTCGATCATTATCCCAATGTAGTTCTCCCTGTCTACCATAACCTACGCGTGTAGGTGGTCCTGTATCGTGGGTTTGGTATTTAAGAAGTTTCCATGTGCTCATCTGTGTGGTAGATCTTGCACATGCCACTTCAAACAGCCATATGCCGACCCATCATGTCAATGTACTATGGAGTGTTCACCCAAGGATATAAATCTTAAGACTGTAACAAAAACCTGACAACCCTTCCCAAATGCAGAAAATATCTGTGACATTTCCTTTCTCCATTGTGATTTGGAGTCCCCAGCATCTTGCCAAAGAATAAACAGCACTTATGCCTCTTAGGCGTCAAGTCTGAGATGAAGCTTTTAGGATAATAAATGGAAGATACAATAATAAACATAAAACAAACATGTGGTTCTTGCTTTTAAGTGGAAAGATTACAGTTGGCCCCGTTTTAATGCTGGAAGTCAGTATGATTAAGGAGCAAAGACTTGCCAGCATGGTCATAAATGATGGAGCAGCCTGCAGGAGTGGTGTGTGAGAAAGCCAGTTGGCCTGCACAAAAATATTAACATGAACATTGGAGTCCCTGAAGGACACTAGTTCAGTGCTCGTGTAGGGAGAGGGGAGAGGGCCGAACCAGAGTAGACTTGGAGCCCAGGCTGCCATTTGGGACACAAGTGGGACCACCAGGTGGATGCATGGGTGAGCAGCAGGTCTATAGGGCATGCGCCCAAGGGGGTGAGCGCAATGAGGTGGAGGAGGAGAGAGGTCCCTGAGGCCCCGTCTGGTGCAGCTGCCCGCCCAGGCCTCCGTGTAGCCAGCGGGGCGGGTGTGAGGAACTGGTGGATGGGAGTCAGGTCTGCTTCTGTCTGGACATGAGTCCATCTGCTCTGCCTCCAAACCGAGAGCTGGAAGTCATGGAGCCTTTCAGGGCAGCAGCACAAGGGGGCCTCCAGCAGGGGAGGCGGGTTGACCTGCACGGAGCTGAGAGCCAGCACCCCTTCCTGCCCTCACTCTGAGGCTTGGCCCTCCTGCCTCCCCGTGATCCCTGCCTCACCATCCTTTCAGCCTTCAACAAATAAAATCACTGTTTATCCTACAGCAGGAGAGGTTCAGTAGCAAGTCAGATTAGACTTACTTTTAAAAATATATATATGGTTACCACATTTTATTTTATAAGTAGGGACTTCTGTTATATTAATAGACTTTAGTCTTTAGAGGCATTTTAGGTTTGGGGAAAAATAGAGTGGAAAGTCCCGAGTGCCTACACACGCCTCACGTTCCCACTTATCCCCAGTGTCCCCACTGCTGCCATCTGGGATCAGCGCGCCGCTTTCATGACTCATGGTCCATGGATGGGCCCGTGTGCTGCGCCGTCACTGCCCAGGGCCCAAGGCACTTGGTGTTGCATATTCTATGGGTTTAGACAAATCTATGGGACACATATCCACCCTCCCGGTAACACACAGAGTATTTCCACTGCCTGAAAGTCCTGTGTTTCACCTGTTCCTCCCTCCTTCCCCCAAGTTCTAGGCAACCACTGATGCTTTTGCTGTCTCCCTGGTTTTCCTTTTTCAAAGATGTCGTAGAGCCGGTAGTGTACAGCACACAGCCTGTTCAGATGGGCTTAGTTCCCTTTCATATGCACTGAGGTTACCTCCAGGCCTTTAACCTTTGAATAATATTCCACTTAGAATACCAAGGATGTACCATGGCTTGTTTATCCATCACCTACTGGAGGACAGCCAGGTGGCATCCAAGACTTGATGATTATGGATAAAGCTGCTTTAAACATCAGTGCTTAGGTTTTTATATAGCCAGTGTTCAGCTCCTTTGGGTAAATACCTAGGAGCTTGATTGCTGGATCACGTGGTACAAAGATGTTTACTTTTGTTACTTTTCCATGACCTTATATTTAAGGCAGGTCTGTTATAAGCAGCACATAGTTGCATTTGTCTAGGTCCGTGGGCTCCACAGGTTGAGTAGAGGACCTAGGACACAACAGAATGGACGTGACCTGTGCAAGGAGGAACCAGAGCATCAGTGCTGTGGGGTGGGGGGTGGGGGGTTGTTGCTGGGTGTTTGCCTCGACACCTTTAGCCATGTATTACAGTTTGTCCCTAAGAGAGTTTTCTGAAACTTGAGTTTCAGGTGGGAAAGCTTGGCACGTCACAGATACATCCCAGCGACCACTGGAGCCCAAGGGGCAAACGTGGGTGCCGTGAACAGTGTCCCCAGGGGTTCTTACAAGGTTTCAAGGCTGTGCTTAGACCTGCCTGAGTTCAAACCCACCTGCGCTCCCCCCACGCCTCGTGGCAGTGTCTCTTCCGCACTGATTTCTGCTGTCA